CACACACACACACGCCGGCGTTAGCATGCACTACTAAACATGATAATCTAAGGCCTTTAAATTGCGTGTATTATTAGATCAGTTAATACATCAAGTGTTACCATAACGAGATATAATAAAGTAACATATTACCACTAGTGTTCTTTAATAGCTGGTTTGGTTTGGTTAGGTTAGGTTAGGTAAGATTGGGTTAAATCATGTTAAATTGGATTAAGGATAAGGCTTAACATTAGAGTGGTTAACCCTAAGCTAAAAAAAAAAAATGGGGGTTAAGTTTTAGGTGTTCCCATTTACTTGGTGAATTTATAAACACGAATGCAAAATTAACCTTCGAAAAAAAAAATAAATAAATAAACAGCGTAAAACGAGCGTCATGATAAAGAAAAATACACATCGGTCTGATATTTACAAAGCGCACCTCCACGACTCTCGCATACTGACCTTCCATCTAATGCATACGGGAATTTATTATACAAGAATCTCGTACCTTTTTTGATGATTTAGTGACGTACCTTCACCCAGTAGTCGTGCTTCATCTACGAGGTGAATTGAAATCACAATCACAAACTCTTTAATTAGTGAATATATCCAATATTACTGAGCTAGTGTAAATAGCTTCTTTTTTTATTGAATTTATATACCCGGTACATCTTTTAGGCAACTTTTCCTTCACAAATTTTCGCACCTAAAACTGATTCTATTTTTTTTTTGTAGACTGTTAATGGATATATTTTTTAGTTTATTGAATATTTTTCTTTGACAATTATCCCATATTTATCCTTTCATTTTATACTCTTTCCTATCTATCCATATTTTGTATTTACATCTCCCTCTTTTTCATATTTACTTTCCTTAATTAATCGTGTAGTTTATCAGCTTCTCTTACTGTTTTCGTCTATTTTATCTCTTCTCGTTAATTCCTACCAATATTACGCTTAATTTTACCCAGCATATAGTTTAACCTAACCTAACCTAACCTAACCTAACCTAAAGGAGTATATGTACAAGAGACCCTGTCCTCATTACTGGTTTTAATAACTTTTATCTGCCACAAATATTGAACCTATTCTGGATGGTGTTGAAACTGCCGCCGCCGCTGCCACCATCACCACTACCACCACCACCACCAACACCACTATCACGAACACCACCACCACCACCAACACCTTGCATTATAAGACAGGTGTATGAAAGAGATCAACTAACACTCTCACAACACAACCAACAACGATCACCAACTTCATCATCCTAATTCATCTTAACATAATCCTACATCAACACAATTCAGTAAACATTAAAAGGTCGCCAGGCGCAGTAGTAAGGGCTACACCCCACCCCTAAACGTTTATCCTGACAATATCCACACCAAACAATCACTAATTACCATGGCCTCCGATCACCAAAAACCACACATAACTTACGTGAATTGGGTCCATATAGAGTAACACCTCAACGACTGTCTCCTCTCCCTCTCTCTTGTCTACTGACCGGCTCTCCTTCACCTTCCCCTGTTATACATATGTCCCACCTAAATGACTCGCTCCTGTATCATATAATTCTCTCCGAAGCTTCGAAATTTTATACACCCTCTCCCTCGTCTAATTGCTACAGTTTTAGGTTCCTGTGAAATCTTTGAAGCTTCGAAAGGGGCATCTATATATATCCCGTTCTCTATAGTGGTTAATAACGTGACGGCCATTCGTGTAACTACCATTATTACTGACACTACTACTACTACTACTATCACTACCACCAACACCACCTTTACTACCACCACCACTACTAGCACTACTACCACCACCATCAACACCACTGCTCATTACCAATACCAACTTTACCGTCGCTGTCACCACCGCCGCCACCGTCGCCAGCAAACACCGCCACCACCGTTCCTTTCCCTGGCCAGGCAACGGATAAACAGAAGGAACACTTCATTCCCCAGATCCTTGAACTGTAACACGAAGGATATAAACAAAAATCATCAAACAGTCTGACAATATGTTACCACAGAGAGAAAAACATACAATCACCTCATCTTTTGTCTTCCTTACACCCATACATCTATATGGTCCCCAGACACAGTAGTATAAGGGCTGTACCTCCCTAACATCCCCTCACACCTTAGCGTAGCCCCCCACCCCTCCCTGATCACCTCATTGCACTCAAGACTTAGGTGAACGTCCATATAGTGAGCAGCCCAGCGACAGTCTCTCGTCCACCGGTTGGTCTCTCTCTGCCCCCCCCCCTCACCACACACAGTTTTATACTCCGTCTAGATGATTCACTCCCGGTTTATACTATCTCTTCGAAGCCTCGTGACTCGTGCTGAATGACGTAACGGCCATTCTTGTAATAACTACCACTACCACTACTACTACTACTGCTATTACCATTAGTACGGTACTAGTGAAAGTAGTGGTGGTGGTTATACACAGAAACACACACACACACACACACACACACACACTGTACCATACATACACACAAACCAAGCCTACACACACACACACACACACACACACACACACACACACGGGGTGGTGAGATTATCTTAAGTTGACATATGTGAGGCGCACCTGGGGGAAGGTGTTCCAGGCTCCTGCTGCGTCCTTTCAGTGTTTGTCATGCACTCCTCCAGCCGCCTCCCACCACCATATCCCACCCACCTACCACACCCCTCCCACCCACCCCATCCCACCCATCCTATCCTCCCACCCACTTCCCTCTTGCCACATCCCACCCATCTTCCTGCCATCTAGTACACCTGGGTAGAGGAGTAGGATGGATGAGAGAGAGAGAGAGAGAGAGAGAGAGAGAGAGAGCCCTGACCATTATCTATAGTTGAGCACTAAATCATCCATGGTTGAGGGGTAGGGTGGGGTGGGGTGGGGTGGGGTGGAAGTGGGTGAGGTGGGGTTGAAGAGAAGGGGAGGTGAAGAAGGGTACACCTCAGGGCTCAAGGATTTGGTGAGTACACAAGGGAGGTGTAGGGAGGGTGGCTCAGGTGAGGTGTTGAAGGGCAGATGAACCTGTGTGTGGACAGTGAGAGGAGGGAGTGGGAAGAGGAGGGTGGGAGGAGAGGTGGAGAGGGAGGGTGGGAGGAGGGAGGGTGTGAGAGAAGGGGGAGTGGGAGGGGGAGGGTGTGAGAGGGAGGGAGGTGTGGGAGGAGGGGGTATGAGAGAAGGGAGGGAGTGGGAGGAGGAGGGAGTGGGAGGAGAATTGACTTAAAGGTTCGAAGGGAACAGACTTGGACGTTGAGCAGTAGAGCAGGTGGAGGGAGGAGAAGGAAAAGGTGGAAGGGGGGTAGGAGGAGAGGGAGTAGTTAAGCGGATGAGATAGGAGTGAGGGAGGGAAAGGACAAGGTAGAAAAAGGAGGGAGGGTAAAAGAAGGGGAGGAAAGGCAAGGAAGGAAAGGAGGGAGGGAGGGAGGGAGGGAGGGAGGGGGGGGGGAGATATTAAGGGAAGGGAGTGGAGGGAGCGAGGGAGGGAGGTAAGGGGAGGGGAAGAGGCATGAAGCACCTGCCTCTGTAAACGATGTTATTAGTGTTAGAATATCGCGCACTGATTGGCTGGATGTGGGCGACAGGGATTTCCTTAGTGTGGCTCAGATGAGATAATTAAAAAAAATAACTGTGTCAATATTAAAAAAAAGAGGAAATATATCATCAGTATTTCGTGAAACAACATTAAGATTCTATTAAATTTGATTTATATTCTAGGTGTATGAAGAAACACTAAAGAATTAAGATAGTTTTATATTCAAGCTCACTTAACACCTCGGCTGGTATTTATTACAGAGCAGCTTTATGTCATTATATTTAGTTATTAATAAAGTTATATACGTTTTATCTTCCTTATAGATGCCTTTTGGTGAAATATAGCGAATGTAAACAACCAATAGAGAGTTACACACCAAAAAGTAAAGCACTCTCTCTCTCTCTCTCTCTCTCTCTCTCTCTCTCTCTTTTAATTCATCTTTTTACGCAGACGCAAAAAAAAACCTTATTGAGCGCCTTGATCCTAAAGTTTACGAGTACATTCGCTATCCTCCAGGATTCTGGTGCTACACCGGTTTTTAATGACATGTTAAACAAATTTGTTCATTTCTCCGTCGTTATCCGTTAGCTCGCCAGTATCTGACTGTATTGGTCCAATCTTGTCCCGTGCTACCTTCAGTTCATTAATTATTCCTCTTTGCTTTTCTTATCTCGGATTTAACGTTATAATAATCACGGAGGTAAATCTGCAAAGCTATTAACATCACGTCTAACCATTTTTTCACACATAGTTTAAATGGTTGTAACTGAACTTGTCTTGTGCCAACACATTACCAAAAACATTTCAGAGTCAACTGTATTAGAACAATTTTGTCTGAGTTATAAAACAAAAATATTAAAAAAAAAGCAACGTAGCCAACATATCCCAGAGGTCCAAAAATGGGTCATTGTTTCCTGTTGGGTAATAATAATGACCAAAAACATTGTGTCAGGGAAACAATATCACCATGATCTCTGCCCACACCTCCACTCATACATCATTGATTTAATTGCCTTACTGTTTGCTATTAACATACACCTACATTGTCTAGGACTCTAGGTACAGTGGAAATTGTAGGCCTGCCTTGTCTGTATACATACTGAACTGTATAAATGTAATGTCTATATAAATATTGAACTGTATACCTGCATTGTCTATATACACGCTGAACTAATTGTAAACTTTTATGACTGTTTTACTGAATAAATAATATTATAATTATCATCATTATTATTTTTAGTGTCAGGATAAAAAATAAAAATTTTCTGGTAATCTCAATAATATTTACCACCAGTCACCTTGTGCTGTACCTCATGACTCATTTTCACAATATATCTAACAGGTGACGATACAGAACCGTCTTGTATTAATTCTTCAGTAGGGAGACTTATTTTTACTATGATTCACCTCTGAAAGATCATCATGACCCGTATATTATTAACTCCGTGATTTTCTCGTTACAGCTCACAGAGTGTTGAAAGGTAAGTCAAACCTTTGTCACTTTGTCAGGTGTTCTTAATTTTCATTTACATGCATCTCACTATAAAGATGGAGCGCAGCGGCCAATGGAAACCGTTCTCGCCTCCTATAGTATACTAAGGGGCCACTCGTTCGCACCTGAGGCATCGCTATCCCACCCAGCTGTGACTGGGTAACAAACTTAATAATTAGAGCAGAGACAGAGCCGAGGACAGTGGTGGCCATATTGCCTCCGTGTGTTCAAAAGGTTCAGGAGTGAGTGTGTTGTATCCTCTGACCTGTGCCATACTGTCGTGATATATAATGTATATTATATCTAATGGTGTCGTCATATATATATATATATATATATATATATATATATATATATATATATATATATATATATATATATATATATATATATATATATATATATATATATATTATCAGGTTCAATTTACTTAATTGCTGAGTGTAATAATGCCAACACTATTTGCAGCTGTTTTATTTTTGTCAATAAAGTGGCCGAACACAGTATTTTGCTGTCATTATCGCCATTTTTTTTATCATATAATTCTCTCCGGATTTATATAAAGTGAATCTAAACCTATGAAGTGTAACCATTTATTTTCCGGATCATTAAGAACGTGTTAGGTCGATGAATTTATACAGCTGTGCAAGTCTGTCGGTGTCAGGATTCTCAAAGATTCTAACGCTAATATTCTCAACACCTATCTGGGGATAAGAGAATGAATTATTTCAAAATTAAATTTAAATGTAAATTTCAACTGTTAAGTCTTTTGTTTCATAACATAAACTTTACGTTTAAACGTTTTCTGTTAATTAGTAGTTCTTATCTGTTTAATTCATAACTACGAGTTTTTATCATTCAGTTAGCAACACGTGACATACTTCACATCACCTCTCTCTTCCCGATACACGGACTTGTTCTTACACACGTACATTATACATACGACATCGGCTGGTAGTCTGCACCGGTGAAAAAAAAATGTTCGATTCATATTCAGTTGTTTCAATATTTCAACTTGGTGGTGAGGAATGCAGCGATCCTCACATATAACATCGCGTCTTCTTGTTTCTCAGCCTGAGGGTGTTACTGATGCACACACACACACACACACACACACACACACACACACACACACACACACAGCACACACACACACACACACACGCCGTACACACACACACACACACACACACACACACACGTCGCTCTCACCCAACATACGACTGGGCACTGTTTTATATACCTCCAGTGTCATAGTGTTGTATAATGTTATTCAGAAGCAACCCATGACAAGAGTCGACACAATGGCAGGGTGGAGGTGTGCGTCCTTGCGAGTGGTATTGTGTATGTGTTTTTTTTTCTTTTCCTTTATGAGAGTATTTATGTATATATCGTACAAGTGTGTGTGTGTGTTTGTGTGCGTGTACCCGTATGCATATAAATGTATAAAAGGACGTATATATGACTTTATCTGCAGGTGTTATCTTCCCAGGTTGGCTCTACTGCCTCCAGGTCCCGGAAGTGATACACGATGTACTTGTGTTATTTTTTTTCACATTTTCTGTATATTAGTACTTGTTTTACAGTTGGATTAAATAAATTGTTATATATCTTGACAAACATATGATATAATAAGCACTAAATCATATTACAGCTTTTTTCTCGGTCTTCCAAATGATAAAGTTATTTACCCCGAAGATGGTCTTTTGTTTCAGTAGTTTTCTGTCAGTGTTTATCTGGGTAAAACTAAGACAGAGTGTTTCGAGTTAACTAGCTACCTGACGGACAAACTCTATAAAAAAAAACTTTTTTCATAGTACAAGAATAACCTAACTCGGGTGGAGGAAGAACACTTTAAGCATTTTTTATTTCCCTCGTTAGTTTTCTTGTAAATAAAGATGATCCATGCCACTAGACGACGCCATATTTGCGCTTCGACTGTTTTTACATTAAAGCTTCCGATTAATACTCAGCTTAAGAAAATTTGTATTTGGACTTTAATTAATTGTTCCTATTATAAACAAGCCCCTACAAACAAACATGACCTACTACAAATAAAGGAGAATACTCTACCGACATTTTGTTCTATATCGTTATAGTGTATTAGATGATTTATTGGTGACGTGATATCAAATATAACTTAGGATTTTTTTCTCATGAATAATTGCTGTGTCACGTGATATCAAATATAACTTAGGATTTTTTTCTCATGAATAATTGCTGTGTCACCGTTATAAAACAATCACCCTCCTGGCAAACACATTTCCTTTTTTTTCTCAGGTAATTAAAAATTTTTGGGCGATAAATTAAATAATACACAATTTAGCGGTGTAATCAGAGAGTTAATAACCTATTTAGGCGGGGGCGTGTATGCGTGGGTGAGAGGCGTGTCTAATTTCGTTAATCTACATGTGAGTTAAGTGCGTGTGTGTGTCTGTGTGTGTGTGTGTGTGTTTATGTTTGTTGGTGTGTGTGTGTGTGTGTGTGTGTATTTATAATTTTTGTCACTAACTTTTTAATCAACGCAATATTTTTACTTAATTTTTTTAGCCAAATTAAATATCACAACTGAATCTGAGTTTTTCACTTGTCCATATAACATAATATACTTGTGTGGCCAGCTAACCGGTCACCGCGCCAAAACTCTACGGTAACCAGTCGCCGCATTTCACTAAGTCAAACATAATATACTTGTGTGACCAGCCATCCGGTCACCGCGCCAAAACTCTACGGTAACCAGTCGCCGCATTTCACTAAGTCAGCCCGACAAGTTTACTCACCAACACTTTGAAATATTCTAATGCATCTTTCGCAACTTTTCATACATATTGTCTTGGTGTAGAAATTGAGAAATGAAACGGCCAAAGAAGATCACGGGTATTAAAACAACTCCACTAAGCTTAAAACAACGGTGTAAATTAGATGGCAATTTTAATAAAGTCTTCGATGAAAAAGCCAGTCATGAGTTGTGTACGGAGTTTTGTACAGTAGAACCTTTGTGTGGATAACTGTTTGTGTTGCTAGTTGTAACTTTGTGGCGCTATTTGTAACTTTGTAGTGGGTAGTTGTGCCTTACCATTCTAAAACAGCTATTTCAATAATCTACAGTGCCACAAAGTATAAGTTCAATAACCAATAGTGCCACATATAACAACATAAGAATTAAAACGAATCAGTCGACCTTAGCTAAAAGAAAATGAACATCGTTATCAACAAAGCCAGCAGTGCCATGAACCACATCAACAGTGCCTAATAAGAAGCAGTGCCAATAACAATAGAGAAACTCATTACCAGCTCGGATTAATGACACCGCTCTCAGAGGGGTCAATTAATTAACCAGGTAATACTCTACGGATTAACCTCCAGCAAATTACGGGTGCCCAGGTAAACAATAGTCACACCTCACGCTCTCTCTCTCTCTCTCTCTCTAATTCACCCACCCTCCTCTCCCATCCTTCTCTCTCTCTCTCTCTTCTCTTTCTGTCTCTAAAAAGAAAAACGTACAGACGGTGAAGAGTGTGAGAAGTGACAGAGAGAGAGAGAGAGAGAGAGAGAGAGAGAGAGAGAGAGAGAGAGAGAGAGAGAGAGAGAGAGAGAGAGAGAGAGAGAGAGAGAAGTGAGAGAGAGAGAGAGAGAGAGAGAGAGAGAGAGAGATAAAGGAGGGATGAAGAGGAAGAAGGAACGGGAAGGAAGAAGGAGAAGGAGAAAGGGAGGGGGAAGAGAGAGACAGAGCAGGAGGGAAGAGGGAGGGTGGTGAATAAATGAAATAATAAACATAAGAAGAAGAAGAAGGAGGAGGAGGAGGAGGAGGAGGAGGAGGAAGAGAAGAAGAAGAATGATCAAAGGAAGTAAAAGTAAGGTGGATAAGAGGAGGAGATAAGGAAGATAGAGATTGGAGAAGAATTAGCGAGAGTGTAGGAATAGGAAAGAAGGAGGAGAGGAAGGGGTGAGCGAAGAAGAAGAAGAAGAAGAAGAAGAAGAAGAAGAAGAAGAAGAAGAAGAAGAAGGAAAAGGAGGAGGAAGGAATGAAAAAAGATGTAGAGGGAGGGAGGGAGGAAGGAAGAAGGAAGGAGAGAGGGAGGAAGGTAGAGGGAAGGAGAGAGGGAGGAAGGTAGAGGGAGGGAGTAAGGTAGAGGAAGGGAAGGTGGGAGGGTAGAAGAAGGGAAAGAACCTAGAGAGATGGAAACAAACAAAGAGTAATAATGAAGATGCCAAAAAAATAAATTCCCTCTAAAATAATATGGGATAAAAATCCTTATATATAAAAAAAAAATTATATATATATATATCCAGTATATATATATATATATATATATATATATATATATATATATATATATATATATATATATATATATATATATATATATATATATATATATATATATATATATATATATATATATATAAATATATATATATATATATATATATATATATATATATATAATCACTTTGGGGGAAAATATAACCAAGGAAATTAAGTTTATTGATGTGGAAAAATTAATTATTGAAGAAAATATAGGAAAAATATATCAAATACAAATTCAACCCTGAAATTAGATATCCTATATAGTAGTAAAATCAGGCACTTCCAACTTTTTCCACCTTAAGATAAAAGAAACACTTTAGCCCTACCTGGGGGATGGGGGGGTTGTGGTTAGGGTGGTTACTCTTCAGTTAGAATAACCCGGGGTGCCTAATCTTCACGTGATCCAAAAACCCGTGGAGAAAATCATGCGACAACTGAGTAATAAATCCACGGCACTTTTTTTTACGCCGGCTGGGTTCCTCGACAAAGAGCCTCGGCGTTATTTTGTTTTCTTGTACAACGCGAGAAGAATGTCAGTACTGTATCAGATTATTTCTTTGTGTTTAATTTGTCCTCCTCTCCCTTCCTAAGTAACCCTTTATCTCATCCTCTCTTCTTCTCTTTCCATTTATATGTTCTTCTCCTTCACTCTACCTATCATTTCCCCTTCGCCCGTT